ATTTCCTAGATCTAAACAAAATGAAATATTAAAAAAAAATTCTCCTTGAAGTGAAGTGTTAGATCTGCTATAGGTGTGAAGGAAATAACTTGGTTATTATATAATCTTGATAGATACGAAGTAACCCAGCTCACTATTTTAAATGCCAGGAGGCAAAACCATATTATGTCAACTAATTAGGTGACAGGTGATGCCCTAACTAATTGCCAAGTGGCATTGAGAGACTCTACCTATGATTTGGCTTGTGGGGGCTTTTTTTGATGCCATAGACGTAAGTGGTGGGGTTTTAGCCTCTCAGTGACATTTACAAGATTTAAGATAGATTGGTCATGACAGAAACGAGTGGACGTTTTAGCCGAAAGAAAGATTTCCACAAAATACATGATCAAAAGTGAAAGGAAATGCATTAAAATGAAAGAAAACTATAGCATTCGTATAGGTGAACTCACAAAAGGTTTGTAAGAAAGCTGGGTTTGTGTGGTTTGCGTTGAAAAGCGGAATGACGTCAGAGGTCTGTGATCTGGAAGAGGAACAAGAACTTCTGAAAACAGTGACTACAGGTAAGCAGGGGTTATTGGGGTTTAAATAGGGCAAATAACCCCCCCCACAATTGCCTTCCACATGTCATATTTATGTTTGGTTCAAGGATAATTGTGCTGTATAGCCCTTTTCCCCTTAACCTTAATATGTTAGCATGTATATTGATTCAGTTGGAGATTTTAAGGTGATATACAGTGGAGGAATTACCACCGATTCAGCTGGTGCGGCTACAACGAGGCCCACACACTCAGGGGGTCCATCAGGTGACCCATGCATTTAGGGTCACCCAGAAGGTCTTTCTGAGCAGGGGCCTGGCCGTGGTCTCAAAAGGCTAATTGCATGGGCCACCCGATGGAGCGTGCGGACCCCGGTGTAGTGGCTGAATTTAGAATGAAATAAAGCTACCAATACTGAAAGCGGGTAGTCAGGCAAATGAAAGTCAGGGCAAGCTGTGAGCAGGGATGGTTGAGAACATGCTGGATAAAGAAGGGGCCAGGGGATTACCATCCTTTTTAAGAACTAAGATGACAAGAAATCAGGAAGAAAATTCCCTCAGCAGAGGGAATTCTTTTAACAAGATTTATAGTTAGGATTAAAGTGAGGATTTGGATTAGGGCTATGTATTAGAGTTGAGAGTTTACAAATATATATAGTTGAGGTTGTCATACTAAAGAGATGTTGCTGAGTACATGAGTACAATGTAGAACATTTATTACAGAGGGCTAAAAAATAAATGGCAAAATGCAATGTGCATGTACAAATTTTAAAATTAAAGTTAATACCACAAACTTGGTAAAATGGTAGAAAACTTTAACCATAATAAAGCTTAAAATGTATTGTGATAGTGCCCGTGGTGTCCACATTTGTAAATTGTATTCATGGAGTAATTTAAATGTGTGAGTTACTTAATGTACCCATCATCAGTTTGCCATTAAAAAATTTAAAAAAATTAAAAAAGAACTGCAGTGGGCAGGTTGTTAATTCCACCCTGTATTTTCACAGAAACTTCACAAGGGTATGCAAAGGGGGTCATGTTGTACCTTTGAAATATAGCTAAGCAAAATTGTAAGATTTTTATTACATTAGCACAGATCAAGTTTACAAAATAGGTTGCTAAATTGCAAAGTGAGAGTAAAAAAACAGGCATATTCAATAATTGTTATTGTATTTGTAAGGCTTTTCCTGCAGCCAGGAATGCAATTTTTCAAGTGTAGCCATTACACTTAGTTGCTTGTGTACTATTTATAAAGGCTCCACAATGTATCTACATATACTATGCTAGTCTTAACAAAGTCTGAAAGGCAGCTGAAATGCATAGACCTCAGAGGCTCACTGGAGTTTGCTTGAAAGCAGGCTATTGAAAGTAGTCTCTTTTAAGTAGGAGTTGAAACAACAGGAGTTTATTGGAGAACTGATTGGCTGTGGTTAGTTAGTTAATACCAATTGAAAAAGCAGGTCTAATTTTTTTTCAACTTTTTTCTAACTTTTTTATAGATATTTTTAATCTTTAATGATTTTATTTATAACTTTGAGCCTTTTTTATTTATATTTTTCTCTTTGCTGTTTTAATTTAAAACTTTTCCCTCTTTTTTTTTCCCCTCTTGCTGTTTATATTTCCCTCCTTGTGGGTGCTACTGCTGCTGAGCTAATTAGGGGGAGTGCCCCTTAATTTTCATTTGTGTGGGATTTGTATTGCCAATATTGCTCACTGGAGTTTGCTTGAAAGTAGGTTATTTTACATAGTGCTTGGGTCCAGCATGTTGCTGACAGAGTGGAGGGATTATTGGGAGGGGCTGGGGATGACCCAGCTGTCATGGTACATATTGGTACCAATGACAAAATCAGAGGAAAATGGAAGGTCCTAAAGAATGAGTTCAGGGAACTAGGAAGTAAGCTAAAGAAAAGGACCTCCAATGTAATATTTTCAGAAATATTACCTGTGCCACGCGCTACAGCAGAAAGGCAGTGGAAGATTAGAGAGGTCAATGTGTGGCTGAAGTCTTGGGGCAGGAAAGAGGGTTTTGGGTTTTTAGAGCGCTGGCCCGATTTTGCGCTTGGGTACAACCTGTATAGACGTCATGGATTGCACCTAAACGGAAGAGGGTCTGCTGTGCTGGGTGATAGAATGGCTAGAAGGTTGGAGGAGATTTTAAACTAATAGTAGGGGGAAGGGTCAAAGCAATCTAGAAAATGGAAATAGGATAGAAAGGAGATGGGCTTTAGATCAGTATAAGGGGTAGAGATAGGGGGAAGGGAAAGCTCCGAACAGAGGAGGTATGTAATATTGATAAAAATTCGAAAAAAGTACAAATGACTCATGATAATATTAAATGTATGCTTACTAATGCAAGGGGCCTATATAAACAAAATGGGGGAACTAGAGGCAATAGCATACACTAAACAATATGATACAATAGGCATAACAGAAACATGGTGGGATGAGACACATGACTAGGCAGTTAACTGAAATGGGTACATGTTATTTAGGAAGGATAGGAAAAACAAGAAGGGTGGTGGGGTATGTTTGTATGTCAACCATGAGTAAAAGTCAAATTTTAGGCATGTGGAGTGTGACGAGGAAAATGTGGAAGCTTTATGGGTAGATATCTGCTTGGGGAAAACGAAGGGAAATCAGTTATTGGTTGGGATATGGTAGAGCAAATTGGGAAAGTTGCAAATCGAGGTAACACATTAATTATTGGAGATTTTAATTACCCGAACATAACTGTACCGGAGGATTGAAGGAAGGCAGATGTCGTTCCTATATTTAAAAAGGGTTCAAAATCCTTGCCTGGAAATTTTAGACCCGTAAGCTTAACTTCTGTGACTGGTAAAATATTTGAAGGGCTATTAAGGGATAGTATTCAGGAATTAATTGGGAACTTTGTTATTAGCAATAATCAGCATGGCTTTATGAAGACTAGGTAATGTCAAACTAACCTAATTGCATTCTTCGAAGAAGTAAGTAGAAGTATAGATCAGGGTGTTGCAGTGGATGTGATCTACTTGGATTTTGCCAAAGCATTTGATATGGTTCCTCACAATAGGTTAGTCTTCAAACTAAAATAAATTGTTCTAGATGAATATTCTTGTTCTTGGGTAGAACATTGGCTTAAAGGACCACTATAGTGCCAGGAAAACATACTCATTTTCCTGGCACTATAGTGCCCTGTGGGTGCCCCCACCCTCAGGGTCCCCCTCCCGCCAGGCTGGATGGAGAGGAAGGGGTTAAACTTACCTCTTTGTCCAGCGCCGGACGGGGAGCTCTCCTCCTCCTCTCCGCCTCCTCTCCTCCTCTTCGGCTGAATGCGCATGCGCTGCAGGAGCTGCGCGTGCATTCAGCCAGTCCATAGGAAAGCATTCACAATGCTTTCCTATGGACGCTGGCATCTTCTCACTGTGAAAATCACAGTGAGAAGCGCGGAAACCCTCTAACGGCTGTCAATGAGACAGCCATTAGAGGCTGGATTAACCCATTTATAAACATAGCTGTTTCTCTGAAACTACTATGTTTATAAAAAAAAAGGGTTAACCCTAGAATTAAGCTGAAGTAGTCTGGGTGCCTATAGTGGTCCTTTAAGGATAGAGTACAATGAGTTGTCATTAATGGTACATTTTCAGGCTGGACAAAAGTGGTAAGTGCTGTCCCTCAGGGTTCTGTTTTGAAATATACATTTCTGACATTCAAAAACAAAACAAAAACAAATCAGTTACCAATATAGCCACCTTTCTTTGCAAGGACACTCAAAAGCCTGCCATCCATGGATTCTGTCAGTGTTTTGATCTGTTCACCATCAACATTGCGTGCAGCAGCAACCACAGCCTCCCAGACACTGTTCAGAGAGGTGTACTGTTTTCCCTCCTTGTAAATCTCACATTTGATGATGGACCACAGGTTCTCAATGGGGTTCAGATCAGGTGAACAAGGAGGCCATGTCATTAGATTTTCTTCTTTTATACCCTTTCTTGCCAGCCACGCTGTGGAGTACTTGGACGCGTGTGATGGAGCATTGTCCTGCATGAAAATCATGTTTTTCTTGAAGGATGCAGACTTCTTCCTGTACCACTGCTTGAAGAAGGTGTCTTCCAGGAACTGGCAGTAGGACTGGGAGTTGAGCTTGACTCCATCCTCAACCCGAAAAGGCCCCACAAGCTCATCTTTGATGATACCAGCCCAAACCAGTACTCCACCTCCACCTTGCTGGCGTCTGAGTCGGACTGGAGCTCTCTGCCCTTTACCAATCCAGCCACGGGCCCATCCATCTGGCCCATCAAGACTCACTCTCATTTCATCAGTCCATAAAACCTTAGAAAAATCAGTCTTGAGATATTTCTTGGCCCAGTCTTGACGTTTCAGCTTGTGTGTCTTGTTCAGTGGTGGTCGTCTTTCAGCCTTTCTTACCTTGGCCATGTCTCTGAGTATTGCACACCTTGTGCTTTTGGGCACTCCAGTGATGTTGCAGCTCTGAAATATGGCCAAACTGGTGGCAAGTGGCATCGTGGCAGCTGCACGCTTGACTTTTCTCAGTTCATGGGCAGTTATTTTGCGCCTTGGTTTTTCCACACGCTTCTTGCGACCCTGTTGACTATTTTGAATGAAACGCTTGATTGTTCGATGATCACGCTTCAGAAGCTTTGCAATTTTAAGAGTGCTGCATCCCTCTGCAAGATATCTCACTATTTTTGACTTTTCTGAGCCTGTCAAGTCCTTCTTTTGACCCATTTTGCCAAAGGAAAGGAAGTTGCCTAATAATTATGCACACCTGATATAGGGTGTTGATGTCATTAGACCACACCCCTTCTCATTACAGAGATGCACATCACCTAATATGCTTAATTGGTAGTAGGCTTTCGAGCCTATACAGCTTGGAGTAAGACAACATGCATAAAGAGGATGATGTGGTCAAAATACTCATTTGCCTAATAATTCTGCACTCCCTGTATTTAACATATTTATAGATGATCTTGAAATAGGCATTGACAGCCATGTTTCAGTGTTTGCAGATGACACAAAACTTTGTAAAGTAATAAAATGTGAGCAGAATATTGCCTTGCTGCAGAGGAATTTGGATAGATTGGGGGACTGGGCACTAAAATGGCAGATGAAATGTAATGTAGAGAAATGCAAAGTCAACTTACACCCTAAATGGTAGTGAATTAGGGATAACCACACATGAGAAAGATTTGGGAATTGTTATAGACAACAAATTAGGCAGCAATATGCAATGTAAATCTGCAGTTTCTAAGGTTTTGTCATGTATAACTAGGGGCATAAATTCTCAGGATGAAAATATAATTTTGCCTCTTGATAAATCGCTGGTAAGACCACACCTTAAATATGCTGTGCAATTTTGGGCACCTGTTCTAAAGAAGGATATCATGGCACTGGAAAAGGTGCAGAGACAAGTTACAAAATTGATAAAAAGAATGGAGCATTTTAGTTATGAAGTAAGGTTACAAACATTTAAATCTCTTTAGCTTGGAAAAACAGCACCTCAGAGGGGATAATGATAACATTATACAAATATATTTGGGGCCAGTAGAAACCATTATCTGGAAATCTATTCATAAACAGGGGTCACAAGGTCACACATACATAGGACACAAGGTCACGCATTTAGGCTGGAAGAAAGAAGATTTCATCTAAGGCAAATAAAATGTTTTTTTTACAGTAAGAGCAATAAGGATATGGAATTATCTGCCTCAAGAGGTGATTTTATCAGTCAATACAGATGTTTAAACTGCAATTGGATAAATACTTGCAAAAACATAACATACAGGAATATAACTTCTAATTAGATAAATTAATTGAACCATATCTTTATACAGAGTTGTAGCAAATTATAAAAATTTACTAACAATTCTTCTAGACCACTGCATGGATGACATCTACACATTTTAGAAGTGTGTTCCAGTTGGAGATAAGCATGAAACTAGTATAATTTGGCAAGTCCAAAAGGCTAGAAATATTTTGCCTAGTCTTATAAGCAAGGGGCAAGACATGCTGGCTGATATAGAGAAACTTCTTATTAGACTAAGATTTGTATGGCATTTTAACCACACAACTTTTAGCTACTTCCTCATTATATGTCTCCCTATCCTACATTAAATATTGGGATAACATCGATTCAGTACAGATAAATTTTGCTTACCAGTGTAACTATAATGCTCAAATAAGGATTAAGTGAAAGGAGGAGAAGGCTTTGAGCGCCCGCTGTTTTTAGATTTTTCTTTTTTTGCTCAGCTGCTTGGAAAAGGCTTTACACAAATTGATGCCTTGCACCATGATTACTAAAAAAAATATTATAGGGATTATGGTGCTTTTAGTGTCCCTTGAAAAATATGAGTATAGATAATTTAAAAAAAAAACAAACAAAAACAAAAAACTGTTTGCTTATGACAAGAAATAACATAGTTTTACATGAAAATTATAGTAAGGATCTAAAAACCTTCTTATTCAGCAGTTATTTTAGAAGCATATTTTGCAAAAATCTTTTTTCATCATATATATATGCAATATTATTCTGATGAGTAACTATTTTCAATAACATATCATGTATATTATATAGAATGCAGAGCTGTGTTCATAAATTTGTTCATAAAGGAGAGATAATTTTGAAAAGATGGCATATATCATACATTTTCTCTATAGGTAGCCATCGTTGATGAGAAACATATAAAGGGCACCATTCAAATGTGTCTTACTGTGCTCTGCATCATTGGCCTGTATAACACGATCCTGCTGTGTTATGTCAAGGCAACTGTCATTTCTAAAGAACACAGACAGTACAAAGCAACTATTGTAAGTAAAGATAGTCTTATCACACACACAAATGTTAGAACTTTTTTTTAAATAATTAACATTTCTAACTCAGTGAATTTTAGCAGTCTGTAGTAAATGTAGCTTAGATATGTTAAAGAAAATAAGTCAATTGATAGTATAATAGCAATACTGCATTCATTCGCTTTTTAACACTCACAGTGATACATACCAAACTGCATGCTCACACAACACAAACACAGACATATAAGACACCTTTGTGGATAATATTAAATATATATGTAACTTTTCCTCTGAATAGTTCAGTAACAAGAACAAATATTTATCTACAAGTTGATCACATCTGTAATACTGCACACTCATCAGTAACCATTTTTCCTTGTTACCTATGTTGCATGGATCCGTTTGGGTGGTTTGCAGAGACTACAATTGCAGTAGTTATGCATGCTGCAATTAGGTACCATTCAGGATGCTACAATTGCATAGTCTGGAGTGAAGGCTGCTGCCAATGTTACTTAACTCTTGCAAATATGCCTGGACAAATAATTCCACTGGTTCAAAGCAAAGAGACAAAGAGACAATATGCATCACCTGATATGTGGAGATGAGTCAGGTGTCTGCACTGATAATTGTTTCTGGTATATAGGTGTGGTTTGGGAAACTAGTACAAGTGACCTGTGAATTCTTGACCTAACAGTCTGATTCTGCTCACTTAATTAATTTGCATATTGTGAGCCCAGTGATCTCAAGTGCTAACTTACCTTGTAAATAGTAGTGACTATATCTACATGTATGTAATATTTGTCTCTTTAGTTGAATGTCTCAAGCAGTAAATATCTTGATGGAAGGTCAATGCAATGTGACTCAAACTACTTAATGAGCTATGTAACATTTAAAATGTTATTGTATTCCATAACTTGACCATTTAGATAAACATAGTTCCTACAGTTGCTGTGAGTTCTAGTATAGCAGACCAGTGATGGACTTACAGTTGATGGATTTAGATATGGTGATGTATGTGCAGGTGGCTATGGTTGTTTCATAGGCTATATATACTGCTAGTATATCACATGTATATTGTGTTTGCCTCCTACATATAAAAAAGTGGGGAGAATGTATATTGTAGGCCCTCTCAAAGCAATAAATTATCACCCAATTTCATAAACTCTGGCATAAAGGATCGGCTGCATTTTGAAAAGCAGATCATTGGTTGTTGCATCTTTGGTCAAAAAGACCATACTTTCACACCATTATAATATTCAATGTTTCTGCTCTAGCTTGATAGTAGCTATAGTGGTGTCATCTGACTACCTAAAGAGGTTGTGGTCAACATGCTCATATATCTTTGCTGGACATGTATGATTATCGGGCTGCAGCATTAGCCATTTCAGAATGCATTTGGCATGTGGGATTCTTATTCCTTCTTGCCATTCTTTCTCTTATCCAAAAAGCTGTTACTGGCAAGACTGATGCCACCTGCAGACATTGTCCAAAATGCATACAGTAGAGCCATAAATAAAAGTAAAAGGGAGTAAGGGACAAAAATATAATAATGAGAAGAAGATAATGATGATACAGTCAGTTCAGTAAATTGTCTAAATTGTCATCCTTGCTCCCTCTACCAGTATGGACACATGCCATTGGTCAGGTTCTGATCCCACTGTACCTGTAACATTATAAAGCATTATAAAGTGATAAAACTGCCATTGTCTTTTCTTTCTCTACCCATGATAAAATTAAGTGATTTTATTTTAAGAAGCTAATATTAGATTTGCTAAATATTTTACTGTGATCCTCAATGTAAGACGTGTATCCATATAACGGCAAATGATGACTGATAGTTATGTTTATAAGAAATTCTAATTAATGTGTGCCAGCATTTGACATTCAGTTTGGTTAGAGAGCCGGCCTATATGCCCATGTTAAAGAAACAGAAATGTAACATCAATAGAAAGAAAACCAGCAATATTTATAGTATTAGTAGATTGTATTGCTTAGTTACTAATTGTTAATTACATTTGTTTGTAGTTATTCTTCTTGACATCAGTTAGTCTAAGGAGATTGTTTTCTTTTGTAAAATACATTGTTTACAATTTTCAGAATATTCTTTGCCTTTTAACCACTTAAGGACACTTGACATGTGTGACATGTCATGATTCCCTTTTATTCCAGAAGTTTGGTCCTTAAGGGGTTAAAGAACTAGGATCATAACTCAAGAACTATTTGGGTTGGTTGGTCCAGTAAGAGCGAATTGATGGCTTCTCTATAATCCCCATGGGAGCCCAGAATTTTTTAAGTTCAGCGATCTGTGGGATGCCAAGCACACTCCTCCCTGACTGCATAGCTATCTGGATTGGTACCAATAAATTGGGTAGCATATAAAATAGTCTGGGGAGCAATCTCCTCCCAGATGGTATCCCCTAAAAATAGCTCCATATATTGCATAGGGGAGAAGTCATCCACGTTGACATTAATGCCTGTGTTGGCACTAAAAGGGGTGATTTGGGGCTCAGCTAACTGTGGAGAAACCCGTTCCTCCTCCACATTCGGCGTAGCAGCGAAAGCATAGCTTCTTTTTGCAGCCGGCTCACACACAGATGACATGTCAGTAGATGTGTCAGAAAACTGACCTGGGTCAAAATCGGACACAATGTCAGTGGTGTCAGAGTCTGGCTAACACAGAGTTACTAACACACAATTTTTTTTTATTTTGTACTAAAAATTGACTAAAACTGATAAAAACAGACTAAATGAGACTAAAACTTCCGTTAGCAGCAATCTGTAAACTAACTCCTGCAAAAATAATCTAACTGGAGATTTAGGGGAAGGATACTGACTAACAGAAATTTGCTGCTTTTCAAAATAAACAAAAAAAATAAATCAGAAACAAGTATTATAAAGATTTATTTTCTGTGTGG